TTCTTTTTTGTAAATAATCAAGGCACACATTTTAAACAATGCTTGAAGATGAGAAATTGTAGATTGTGGTTCAGTTTTATGTTTCATACATTCGAGTCTCTAAAATGCGAAAAAATTCTAGTTGAGCTGAAAGTAAAGTTACCGAAATGATAAAAAAGAAACATTTTTTTAATCAGAAAAAGTTTATCGTTTTTTCGAATATTTATACCAATGATAACTGTTAATTTTAAAGCGTTTTTCATCTTTAATCATAGAAATCCACAATTTTTCTTGCTTTATGAAGAAAAAGAAGTTGGAAGTTAATTACTTAATCGTATAGTTGGACTTGAAAAAATTATAAAATTAATTTTTAATTTTCCAAGAAGTACTCGTAGTTGTCTTAGATCACAATAATGAATAAATAAACCACATAATATTTTCAAGCTTAATTTTTTTGTTCAAAATAAAAATATCAATAGAAAGAAAAAAGAAACTGTTAATTTTTTTTATTAATTAATTATTCAATATTTTTCTGTTAAAAAGTTTCACAACTTTATACAAAGTTACAATTAAATTTATAAGTAAAACATATTTATTTTCTTATTTGGGCCAATTCAATAAACTACAAGTAATTTTCTAATCTTTTATTCATGTATTTATTAATGATAATTAATACAAAATTATGACCACGTCTACGTGAATAGGTACAAAACTAAAGTCAATTTAATTGATTCGATTTAATATATTATTCACGAAAGCAAGAAACGAAAAAACACTCCTCATCAACTAAAATATTTAAATTACTTTTTTGTTTAAATTACTWAAACTTACAAGCAAGAAACTACGTAAATTTAAGTCCAAAAACTTTCCAATTGTTATTTTAGCTGGTTTTTGTGCTCGATTCATGATAATAAGTCTTGCCGTTTTGTTTTTGCAAACTTGATCATGGAACCAGGTGCTATAAAAAATTTCATCAGAAATTTCGCTGGACTAAAAAATGTAATTATTACGACGAAAACAAACACAATATTTACCCAGTCAGATAGCAAGGTGCCGGTCATACAAAATGTAAACGATTGCATAGTAAATGAAAAAATGTAAGGAAAGTATTTTACAAGGCGCTCTGTGGGTAACCTGAATTTCTTGTTAACAATGATTCGTCGAGTTTTTAAATACTGACCCTTCTTTGGAAATCAAAAATAAGCCGAAACAGATTCCAAAAAGGCTTGAAAAGTATTGGAGTAAAAACCACCAGCAATAAATATTACCAAGTTGCTCAACGTATTGTAGTAAAAAATCATGATGTTGCACAGCCTCCAGAAATTGCTTATTGCATAATTCAAACGTCTTGATTTTTTTTCTCCCAAAAGCAATTTTTAGTATTTTAAATTGCATGCAAATATATCCGGTGTAGTAAAAAAAAACCATGTCATACCCTGTGATTCCAAGAAAAATAATCGCTACTTCAAGAGTCTGCAAAACAACGTAAAATTCAACCCAAGGTGTTTCAAGTCCTTCTGACTCCCCGTAACACAGCGAAATTGGTTTTCCGGTCTTAAAAATAAACTTGACGAGAACAAACGTTGCACAAGTTAAAGCTAGGATCACCACGTAAACGTAGAAAAATATTTGAAAAATGAAATAGGTTGAGTGGAGATTTTTAGCATAAAAATGACCAAACCGGTCCAATTTCCAAAACTGTTCAAATTTCTTAATCAATTCGAGCATTTTATTTTTGTATAGTAGAAAAGAAGCCATCTTACACATTGTCTGATATTGGGGAATGATAGATTCTGCAGCACGCTCACACGTTTCTAGCCCTTTAAAATTAAAAAAAAACTCTAAATGACTGGAAAATGAAGCTAAAATTAGAATAGTGAAAACGAAAATTGAACGGAATTTTGAAAAACCGTCGTTTTTTCGAGGATCGAGTCCTAGAATGTTTACTAGCTTGAGCG